GGAGCGCAGCTTGCGCCCTGTTGAAGGTGTTTATCCTTACCTCCCTCTGTCTCTCTCTCATGAAGAAATAAACATTTTTTAATGGGATTTTACCTTGATACTTTTCTGTTTCTCAGTCTACTTAAAATTAGTTTTGTAAAACTTTTTTTAAAAAGTGGTGTACGTGGCAGTTTTTCTAATTTCACAGAATTAACTCCTCTGTTGTTGTTATATAATGTTACAAAATATGGTAGCTTGCTTTCTGAGATCTTCCAGCTGTTCATCTCCCCATCCTTGTCTGAACTTCTCTTTCCTCCTCCTACTCTCCATCCCTTGATTCCACTATTCCAGTCCTGTTGAACTCTGATTCTAGTGTCCTGTTCACTTTAGTTTCCACTCAGTGTGGTGTGCAGTCCTGAATAACACTCTGGCAGGTCCACTTTATGGGTTCATTGGGACTAGACTGCTCTAACTTCTGTATGACCACGGACGCACTCCACTTGCCTAGCACAGTTCACTTACTGATAGAAATAAGCTCTGAGAAGTGTGTCATCAGGCAGTTTCATCACTGTACAAGCACCATGGCGTGTACTTACACAAACTCAGATGAGGTAGCCTGCTACACACTAGCTACTACAGTGCGGCCTATTACAATCTATGGGACCACCATCACACACGCGGCCGTCATTGGAGTGGGCGACCTCTCACCTTCCCATGTCAGCTGCTGCTCTTAATATAGTGCACCTCACTGTCCAGTAAACAGTGGAGGCCAGCTGCTGTGGAGCCTCCCAGCTTTCAAGTCCAGTGAGACACAGTGTTACCTCTCTTTGCATACTCCTGCACAGTGACACAATGGTCCACAGCACTGGAAGGTTGCTATTACCTATTTGTATTTTCAAGTACATGGGGTTAGTTGTTTGTTTAATTGCCAGAGGACAAGGGGAAGGGAGGAGTGGAGAGGCAGGCTTAAACATCGGTTGGCCATGTGGAATCAGGCTCCCTTAACCAGTAGGCCACTGGGCCAGAGCCAACTTGAGGTTATTTTTTTTCTAGATGGCATGTGCACTTGTCACGGAGAGACAGAGAGACAGGGAGAGAAGAAAGTATCCTCTTGGGGAGAATAGTCAAGTCACAATTCCTTCTCCTCTTTCTCTCCCTCCTTTCTGGATTTTGAGAACACACGCACATGTGCACAGCATATCTCAAGTGGCCAGGTACAGGACACAAACCATGCGGTCAACCAGGTAGGATCCGGCTGCCTTAGTCACAAACCTGAGGTTAGTTTCATAGTCAATTTTATCCCATATGCTTTTGGATTTGCTATCTAGTTTCTCCCAGTTATGGTCAAAAAATTACAGGGATGTCATATCCATCTTCCCAGAATCCCTCTCAAAGCCAGATCTGAAACTCAAACATAGCCGTTATGTTTTCCTTTCTTTTCTAATGATAGAGACAGAAGGGAGAGAGGGAAAAAGAAGAGAAAATGCCCCCGACGGGTTCTCATCACACCGTGACCTCCTTTCCCCAGCCACCAGCACCTCATGATTCTGTGCATCAACAAATCTTCAGGCCATCTCAGGGATCCAAACCCACTGTCGGCCACATGGCTACTAGCCTTGCAGGGCACTTCATTACTACTATATCACAGTGGCTAGGTAAGCAATTATGTTTTCATATTCTTATGCATCATAAATAGCTACATGTTACTAAACCACAGTGATATGTTCTTAGAAATGACCTCTTAGGGGACCAGCAGTTGACATTATAATAGCTATGTCACTAGACTCCCATGTAGTCAACCACGGTTTGAGTCCTGGACCCAGTGGCTTAAACTCACGCTGGGCACATGTGCGTGCATGCCCAAGATCCCTAGAGGAGAAGGGATTGTGGCCATCCCCCCAGGGGGTGATTTCTTGCTTTCTGTCTCTCTGTCTCTGTCTTTCTGGTGAACATACGCTCCCTATAGCAAAAACCTCTCCAAAAAGAAAAGAAATGACCTCTTAGGGAGTTTTACTGTGTGCAAACATCACAAAGTGTACTGATTCAAAGTTAGGTGCCATAGCCTACTACCCACATAGGCTATATTATAGAATCTTAACCAAAACATGCATCACGTGGCTATATAGTATTACTTTTTTGAAGCTTTTTAAAAAAAATGTTATTTATCATTCTTTTTTTTTTTTTTTTTTTTTTTACTTTCCTCATGGATATGGCTCCTCCCTGGAAGCTACAGGGTATGTGTGCTCACCTGAGAGATAGAGAGGGAAAGTAAGAAAGCAAGCTACCACTCTGGGATTCAAACCAAGGTCGGCCATGTGGGAGTACAACACCTTAACCACTACAACACCTGTTGGCCCACTGAAATGTATTTTAATTGCTTTTAACCATCTTGTTGTAGGACATCTATCTTTTATGAAACAAGGCAAAAAAACACTACAACTTCATGATTATAAAAGGTTTCTTTTAATTAAATTCTTTAAAACTTGCCTGGATTTTAATACTTATAAATGCTCCTTATTCACAGTTCAGATAATGTATAAACATTTACACTTCAACTGTGTAACACTTGTGTCCAGTGGGATGCTTAGCCTGAGACTATAAAAAATCCAAATAATCGCTCAAACACGAGAATGCAGACATGAAGTGTCTTTAAAAATCTGAACATGATCTGAGAAGAAATTCCATGTTTATGTATTACAGACTTTGTGTTCTGTGAATACCAGTATGTACAGTAAATGTAGCAGATTTTCTCCTAGTCCAAGGATCAGCAAGCTGAGCCCAGAGGCTCATTATCTGTTAAAGTTTTACTGACACACAGCCATGCCCATGGCCTTATGCATTATCTAGAGCTGTTCTCAGACTACAATAGCAGAGGTGAGAAGCTAAACCAGAGAACATGTACACAAAGCCTAAAATATTTACTTTCTGGGTATTTGACACAGAAGTTGGCCACCCCCATCCAATCTAGAGATTTATCAAAGGAGCTTCTGCAAGCAGTACTTAAAACTTCTAGGGATAATTCTGAGTAGAACCACTCTTCATTGTATTGGATGCCCCCCAGCATGTGACAGGATGCTTGGCATCTCTGGCCTCCCAGAAACTGGAATACTAGTAGCACTCCCAGTCCTTGGGGTAACCAAACTTCCCCGCACACGTCCCAACTCTCTGGGAGGAAGTCAACGCACTAGTCTTGGTTGAAAACCAAGTTAGCTCAAAGAAAGGAAGGAGAAAATACACTTCGTAAGTTCTAAATGCTACCCAGATGGATGAGAAATATAATTACTTTTATACAGAGCAAGCTGTAAGTCTATTTTTCCCCTCTGACAAAAATATGTTAATTTTAACCAAAATACACTAATATCTTCTCAATAAATTGTATTAAGAATATATTTATTAAGCATAATTTATACATACTTTGACCAATATATCAAACCATCATGGCATTTTCAATTAAAATAAAACACACACACACACATAAGCCAGTCTTACCGATTTGTTCCATCCAGATTTGACTTGTGGATGAAATTAAGTTTCGCATCTGCCCAATAAAGCTTCCGTTCCTCATAATCTAAAGTCAATCCATTTGGCCAGTAAATTTCAGTGTTTATTATAATGAAGCGACTTGAACCATCCATTCCAGCACGTTCTATCTTTGGTACTTCTCCCCAGTCTGTCCAGTACATAAACCTAAAAATAATTATAAAAACAATTAAAGCCATGACATCAGTAAATAACAAGGAAATATTTTATAATTATCATTATTATATAATCAAAGCTCTCCCAGGAATACTAAAACTCCAACTAAAGAAACTATTTTTGACATTTTACTCCCTGATTTAGAACAAGCATCATCAAGAATGCAAACAACACTGGACCACCATGTACTGGAAAAAAGGATATTACGGTATTTTGATGTGTCTCTCCACAAATTACTTGTTAATAACATAGAGGAAACGATAAACTTAGAAAAAAATACACGTGGTGGGCACCACCCAAACCAGTCACCTCAGTTAATATCAATAAGGGAATAAATTGGCCATTTGCCTCTATTCACAGTTCAGATAATGTATAAACATTTACACTTCAACTGTGTAACACTTGTGTCCAGTGGGATGCTTAGCCTGAGACTATAAAAAATCCAAATAATCGCTCAAACACGAGAATGCAGACATGAAGTGTCTTTAAAAATCTGAACATGATCTGAGAAGAAATTCCATGTTTATGTATTACAGACTTTGTGTTCTGTGAATACCAGTATGTACAGTAAATGTAGCAGATTTTCTCCTAGTCCAAGGATCAGCAAGCTGAGCCCAGAGGCTCATTATCTGTTAAAGTTTTACTGACACACAGCCATGCCCATGGCCTTATGCATTATCTAGAGCTGTTCTCAGACTACAATAGCAGAGGTGAGAAGCTAAACCAGAGAACATGTACACAAAGCCTAAAATATTTACTTTCTGGGTATTTGACACAGAAGTTGGCCACCCCCATCCAATCTAGAGATTTATCAAAGGAGCTTCTGCAAGCAGTACTTAAAACTTCTAGGGATAATTCTGAGTAGAACCACTCTTCATTGTATTGGATGGCCCCCAGCATGTGACAGGATGCTTGGCATCTCTGGCCTCCCAGAAACTGGAATACTAGTAGCACTCCCAGTCCTTGGGGTAACCAAACTTCCCCGCACACGTCCCAACTCTCTGGGAGGAAGTCAACGCACTAGTCTTGGTTGAAAACCAAGTTAGCTCAAAGAAAGGAAGGAGAAAATACACTTCGTAAGTTCTAAATGCTACCCAGATGGATGAGAAATATAATTACTTTTATACAGAGCAAGCTGTAAGTCTATTTTTCCCCTCTGACAAAAATATGTTAATTTTAACCAAAATACACTAATATCTTCTCAATAAATTGTATTAAGAATATATTTATTAAGCATAATTTATACATACTTTGACCAATATATCAAACCATCATGGCATTTTCAATTAAAATAAAACACACACACACACATAAGCCAGTCTTACCGATTTGTTCCATCCAGATTTGACTTGTGGATGAAATTAAGTTTCGCATCTGCCCAATAAAGCTTCCGTTCCTCATAATCTAAAGTCAATCCATTTGGCCAGTAAATTTCAGTGTTTATTATAATGAAGCGACTTGAACCATCCATTCCAGCACGTTCTATCTTTGGTACTTCTCCCCAGTCTGTCCAGTACATAAACCTAAAAATAATTATAAAAACAATTAAAGCCATGACATCAGTAAATAACAAGGAAATATTTTATAATTATCATTATTATATAATCAAAGCTCTCCCAGGAATACTAAAACTCCAACTAAAGAAACTATTTTTGACATTTTACTCCCTGATTTAGAACAAGCATCATCAAGAATGCAAACAACACTGGACCACCATGTACTGGAAAAAAGGATATTACGGTATTTTGATGTGTCTCTCCACAAATTACTTGTTAATAACATAGAGGAAACGATAAACTTAGAAAAAAATACACGTGGTGGGCACCACCCAAACCAGTCACCTCAGTTAATATCAATAAGGGAATAAATTGGCTTTTTTTTTTTTTTAAGGTTTTTTGCCTTAGGATGTGTGTGCTCTTGCTGGAGAGAGAGAAGAGACATAAACAGTGAGAACAAAAGCGAGAAATCACTTCAGGGGAGGGGGTGAGGGGAATGGCCACGCTGCAATTCCTTCTCCTCCCAGGATCTTGGGCACTCATGCACACATGCCCTGCGTGAGTTTCAAGCTACCAGGACTGGGATTTGAACCACAGTAAGCCATGTGGAAGTCCAGCAACATAACCGCTCCATCATCTGTTGGCCCCATGTGCCTCTAAATGTGAGCCACGGAAAATATGTTTACTAGGTCATCAGTAAAGTCGTGAAGTATTTTTCAATGTTATTCTATGCAAAAATGCATCATAACTTTCCAGACAACCCAATAACACCTTTTATTAGTATCTCTTACATAGTATTCCTGCCAGAAAATGCACTACCTGAATAAAATTATGAGGAAGCAAAGAAACTCAAATTGAAGAGCATTCTACAAATCAACTGGCTTTTGACCATATCACCATTATGAAAATCAAAGAAAAGCTGATGAACTAATCTAGACTGAAGGAGAATAAAGAGACATGATAACTACATGAAATCCATGATCCTAGACTTTTAAAAGAGAAAAAAATGCCGTAAAGACATTACTGGAGCAGGCAAAATTGTCAAGTGCCAAATTACATACAGTACTGCACTAATGTTAGTATTTCCTAAAAATGTTCACTGTAGTGCGGTTAGGGTATATAGGGAGTTCACTACACTACTTTTGTTTCTATTCTACAAGTTTAAAACTTCTCTCAAAACGAAAAATAAAAGCTTAATAGCGTCATTAACCACCATGCCATCAGCTGGCCCTTGGGTTTCATTCTTTTATTCTAAGAGCAATATGAAAGCACTTAAAGACTTTTTAAATAAGAGGTGAAATGACTAACTCTGTGGGGCCACAGTAGTGGGGACAGCTGACTGTAGTATGACCAAACATTGGAAGAAGGCCGAAAAGAATAGTGAGGCCAGCGCATTCGAAGTGTCTCTGTGAGGAGTTCTGCAAAGTCCTCTTCAGAACTGTCAAAATAACTAGTGTCTAAAACATACAATGACAAGAGAAGCATTTATTCAAACAAATCTCTACTGACTTTCAGTAAGAACTGTGATACTTTAGGTAGGGGTCTTTTGCGTTCCCATCCACACTACCAGGTTTGTGTGGAACATGAGTTCTACCCTAGGCAGACATGGCAGGCCTTAAAGCCTGATAGCTACATCGGCCTAATCAAGAGAGCACACTTTGGGAGAACCAGCAGTTAGCGTAATGGCTATGTCGCTGGACTCCCATGTAGTCAACCGCGGTTCGCGTCCTGGACCTGGTGGCTTAAAACTCACGCCGGGCGCGTATGCGTGCATGCCCAAGATCCCAAGAGGAGAATGGAGGAGAAGGGACTGCGGCATGACCATCCCCCCTGGGGGATGATTTCTTGCTTTCTGTCTCTCTGTCTCTCTCTGTCTGTCTGGCGAGCCCACGTGCCCTATAGCAAAAATCTCTCCAAAAAAAAAAAGAGAGAGCACACTTTGGAACAACACATGACAAACATCTATGTCCAGGAATCCTAGCAAAGCAAGAGTGCTTTCAATGACAGACAAACAGGGAGGATTACTATCCCAGTGATACCGGTTGGGACAATTAAAGTGGTAAATGAACCAGATTTTACAGCAAGAATGCAGGGAAGAGATAGCCGAAGAGAGTGTAGTTAAGTGGATATCCATCCCTGCCGGTCAGGAAGGCTGTGCACATGCTCATGGCTGCTCCCTCTTAAGAGAAAGAGAGTTTTCCAGCAAGTTAGTCTCCAGCTGAATGCAGACAAATGGAAAATTGCCTAAACCAGAAACAAATCCAAAGGAAAATGGTAGAACACTTACTGGCTCAGGGTTGTTTAGGAACAACCTCTAACATATCATTAGCTGACCACTAAGATACAGCGACACAGGGGCAACCTCTAGAAAGTGCCAAGCATGAAAGTACATTTTTTGAGGGGAAGGGCCAGAAATCAAGCAGTGACTCCAGAAGAAGCACATTTAGATTTATTCTATGCAAATCACTAAAAACAAACAAAAACAAGCCCAGGGAAGGATCAGAATCCATTGTCACTATCATGTATTATCTAAAGTCTCTAGTTTTCAACAAAAACATCCAAAGAAGAGTTAAGAGTGACCCACCCACAGACTTAGTAGAAAGAATTTAAGTCACTATAATAAATATGGTAAAAGAATCAAAGAATGTTAAGAATTAAAAGAAAAGATGATACCAATGATCCATCAAATGGAAAACAAAAGAGAAGTTGTAAAACACACACACACACACACACCACCACCACCACCACCACCACCAGAAATTCTGGAGCTGAAAATTACAATAGACAAAATGAAAACTGAAAAGGATGGGCACAACAGATTAGAGCTGGCAGAAGACTACACACACTTGAAGACTGGGTGATAGAGACTATCTAATATGAAGAACTACAAGAGAAAAGAGTTAAGAGGCTCAGCTGCAATGATGCACACTAAAATGCTGCTACTCAGAATGTGAGGCCCAACCTAAAGTCAGGCACCGTGGGGTGTGTCTGCAGTCTTAGCCAACCAGGAGTCTAGGGCAAGAGTATTGCAACATGGCAAGATTCTGTCAAAAATTTTCCCCACCCAGGGCAAGCTGGTGGCATGGCCATTAAGGCACTGGATTCTTCTATGGCTAAACACGGTTCAAGTCCCACACTCAGAACCTTGAAAATCATGCTAGGGGCATGTGTATGCATGCCCAAAATCCTGAGAGGAGAATGAAGAAGTGGTCATCATCACATTCCCTCTCTGCTTCTCTATGGTGAGTGTGCATGCCCTAAAATAAAAACCTAAAAAAGAGGCTATCCCACCTTCCCTCCTTCCAAGTCCACATTCCTCTCTCTCTCTCTCTTATAAAAGAAACAGGAGATTTGTATTCCAATATGTATTCCACAAATGGAGTACCAGAGTGCAGAGAAATAAAGGGGGGAAAATATGTCAATAATTACTAAAACCCATCAAATGTTATGAAAAATATTAATTCACATTCAAGAAGCTTAACAAACTCCAAGTAAAATAAACACACCTACAGACATCAGTCAACCTGCTGAAAAACAAAGAAAAAAGCTTGAAAGCAGCAAGGGAAAAAAATTCAGCATCTAGAAAGAAACCACACTATAATTAACAGCTGATTTTTCACTACAACAATGGAGGCCAAGAAGCAATGGGACAACATACTCAAAAGTATTAGAGGGAAAAAAGTCAGTGGAGAATCCTACATATTGCAAAACAGTTCTTCAAAAGTGAAGGCAAAATAAAAATACTACCAGATAACTAAGGACCAAAAGAGCTGTTGATCACAGATTTGCCTTGCAAGACATACTAAAAGTTCTTCAATCTCCGATACTAGGTGACTCAAATCCACAGGAAAAAACAGTCCTCACAGAATAATTATGAAAGTAACTAAGACAGTATAAATATGTGTTTATCTCTTACTTTTCTTAAGGATTAAAAAGACAATTATGGGGACCAGAAGATGGCATAATGGTTACATCACTGGACTCCCACATAGTCGACAACAGTTTAAGTCCCAGACCCGGCAACTTAAACTCACGCTGTGTGTGTGTGTGTATGTGTGTATGCCCAAAATCCCAAGAGGAGAATGAAGGAGAAGGGATTGTGGCATGGCCATCTTCCCCTGGAGGATGATTTCTCACTTTCTGTCTCTCTGTCTCTCTTTCTCTCTCTGTTTCTCAGGCAAGCACACGCACCCTTTGACAAAAATCTCTCTCTGAAAAAAAAATAATAAAAAGACAATTATGGGGTCAGCCAGTAGCATAGTGGTTAAGGTGGCTGGGTCACATATGACAGATGGCGCAGTTCAAGTCCTAGACCAGCGGCTTCAGAGACATACCTAGCCCATGAGTACGCATGTCCAAAATCCCTGGAGAAGAAGGGATTATGGCATGGCCATCAAGGCTGGGAGTGCTTTCTTACTTTCTCTCTCTCTCCAGCAAGTGCAAGCACCCTATAGCAAACATTAAAAAAAAAAAAAAGACAATTGCAAAAAACGTCAAATTTTATTATTGTGTGTATGACACATAAAAGTAAAATACATACAAGTAATCCCAGTAAGGAAGGGAAAGGAGAACCAACACTGACATTAGGAAATTACATCAGAAATTGACAATAAACAAAAAAAAAAAAAAAAAAAGAGTTCCAGAAATGGTAAATATGTAGGTTAACATGGAAGTCTTACAAATACTTTTCTTCTCATCTGTTTTCTTAGCTTCTTTTAAAAAACACACACACCTTAAAGCAATTATTATAACACAATATTAGTGGTTTCCTAACATATTGAAACATAATAATAACAGCAAAACAAAGGAGGAGGGAAATGGACCAATACTGGAACAAATGTTCTGTATTTTACTGGAGCTACAGTAGCGTTAATCTTTATGATAAATTAACACTGACATAATTGATATGGCAGATACTAAGAAAACCTTTTAAATCATTTTACTTTTTGTTATTATTTTTAAATAAGGCATGTGTGTTTACCAGAGAGAGACAGAGACATAGAGATAGAGAAAGTGAGAAGGCAAGC